GATGAGAGAGAGAGAGAGACGAGAGCGAGAGGAGAGAGGAGAGGAGAGAGAGACGAGAAGAGAGAGAGAGAGATGAGAGAGAGAGAGAGGGACATGGAGAGGAACGAGAGCGTTCATTGATGTGGGTATGTGCTCGTCTGGTATCACAATGCACACCTACACACACACACGCATACACGAGCACGCACACTCACCAAACAAGCACGCATTTGAATACTCATTCTTTTTTTTTGTGGTGGTTCTCCTTTCCTCCCTCTTCTTCCGTCGCTATCTTCTTGCCCCTCCCTTCCTCAATTTATTTTCTCTTTTCCTACTTTAACCTTTCCTCCACCTCCATCGCTCATCTCTCCCATCTCTTCCTCTCCTTCTCTCTATACGTTTCTCAGTTCCCTCAGTTCTCAGAGTTCGTTTCTCCTAACCTGCCTTTTCGCGTCTTGCTGTCTATCTGTCTTCTCTGTTCTACGTTGATCCTCGTCTTTGATGCGTCGTTCTGTCTGGTCTGTCTGTCTGATATCTCTCGTCTCTCGTCTCTCTCTCTCTCCTCTCCCTCTCTCTCTCTTTCTCTCTAATCCTTTCTTCCCCCCTCCCCCTCCTCCCCTCCTCCCTCCCGCCTCTCTCTCTCTTTCTCTCTCTTCTCTCTCTCTCTCTACTCTCTCTCTCTTCTCTCGCTCTCTTCTCTCTCTCTCTCTCTCCCTCCATCTCTCTCCCTCCCTCGCCCCTCCCCCCCTCCCTTCTCTCTCTTCTCTCCCTCATCTCTCCCCCCTCCTCTCCCTCCCTCCCTCGCCTCCCTCCCTCCCTCCCTCCCCCTCCCTCCCTCCCTCCCTCCCTCCCTCCCTCCCTCCCTTTCTCTCCCTCCCTCAATCCATTGCACGGACCCGTTCTATACGCGTCCAGACCGAGCTGCTTGACTTGCAATATTCTCAAGCGTTACCATTTGTTGCATGGTTGGAACAGTGACGTCATCAACCGTCACTTATTTGCTTGGTTAAGTTTGCGTTCATGTTGTTATTGCTTTTTGTTTCTTAATTTGTACACAGAGACAGAGAGAGAGAGAGAGAGAGAGAGAGAGAAGAGACGAGAGAGAGAGGAGAGGAGAGAGGGAGGAGGAGAGAGAGAGAGAGAGGAGAGACGAGAGGGAGAGAGAGAGAGAAGAGGGAGAGGCGAGAGAGGAGAGAGAGAGAGGAGAGAGAGAGAGAGGAGAGAGAAAAGAGAGGGGAAGAGAGAAGACAGAGAGGACAGAGACCAGAGACAGAGTGAGCAGGACAGGAACAGGTGAGAGAGAGGTAGTTGTGGTGGTGTGTTTGTGTGTGTGGTGATGGTGATGGAGATTGACATTTTCCCCGTTTCTATATATCCGTGCGCCTGACATGCTTTATTGCGCTGTGTGTTGTGCTCGTGTTTGTGGTGTGTGTGTGTGAGTTGTGTGTTTTTCTGTGTCGTGTAATTAGGTATATAGAGATAGTTATAGAAGTATACACTTTATAGGAGTGAGGCATAGCTGCGTAGAGTAGGGAAGAGGATTATGAATGTGTAGTAGGGCGAGTAAGATAGGTATATATATACTGTACTGAGACGATAGGAGCGGAGACAGAGATGACCGGCAGAGGATAGATGTGAGGAGAGTAAGCAGTTATAGGATCCTAGAGTAATATACATATAGAGTCGAAGAGGTACGGCTGTGAGTAAGGAATAGATGACAGTGTGAAGGAGAGACGTAGTTGAACGGAGAGACAGAGACAGAGTAGACAGAGACAGATGGGTATCAGTACTTAGTAAACATGAAGACTAGATCAATGACATGTACTAGAGACAGAGACAGGAGACATGAGACCAGACAGGAGGAGAGAGACTCAGAGACAGACAGACAGAGAGAGAAGAGATAGATTATAGAGGAGGATTCGAAGAGAGGATGAGTGAATGAGATGACAAGAGAGAGAGATGCGAGGAGAGAGATAGAAAGAGAGAGGAAGATGGATAGGAGGAGAGAGAGAGAAGGATAGAGAAGAGAGAGGAGAGAGAGAGGCAGAGAGGGGAGAGAGAGGGAGAGAGAGGGAGACAGAGGAAGAGAGAGGAGAGAGAGACAGAGACAGAGAATGAGAGAGACAGAGACAGAGACAGAGACAGACAGACAGACAGACAGAGAGAGAGAGAGAGAGAGAGAGAGAGAGAGAGATTTCCTGTTAGGTTACATGCACATCTTGGTTTGTTTTCATTTCTTGTTTATTATCATTATGATACTTATGATGATGACATTATCATTATCCTTATCAATGGCAATGAAAATAAATCAATTTTATGATGATTGTTATTCTCACTGTTATTATTGCTACTGTTATTATAATGGAATATTGTTCATATTATTCCTATATGTCTATCAGAAGTTAATGACAGTCGCGATGATATTTCAAAAGATAAGAATAATAACATTTAAAACAAAACAAAAGAAAAGCAATTGAGAGGCCTATGTGAGGATGAAGAGAAATTGAAAGAAAAAGATAAACCCGATTTTTTTCTCTCTCTCTCTACGTCAATACAAAAGAAAGAATAAAAAGTAAAGGAAAAAAAGAAAAACAAAAAAAATGCAAAGAAACTCAAGCAACAAAGAAACACAGCAAAATGTACTTAATGTAATATTGCAACCGCCCGGCGAGGAGTCACGTAGAGACGAAGGAAAAGCCGCAGTTGACAGTCAATTGTTGAAGGGAAAAGATCTCTGCAGCGGAGAGTTGAAAATTTCTTTGACTCTTTTTAAGGGAATTGAAATCGAACGTTTTACACCGTGAAAGGTAATGATAAAGGGTGTAAATGTGTCTGTTTTGTTAATGGTTGAAGGACTACGTGATAATAGCCAATTAAGGTCTGTTAAAAGTAGTGAAACTACGTAATTTACCTGTTGCTGTCTGTTGGGTTTCGAAATTATTTGGTGACTGTTATTAACAGATAATTAACTTTTTTAAAATAAAGTTGCTCAAGTATAGCTGACATTTAAGCTTAAAGTGAAGTAAAATACCCGAATGTATGTAAAATATATGAAACAGACGATAAAAATGACGAAATTTTAAAATGGAAATTTCTGCTTCACGTAAACGAACAATTTCGTTTGATTTAACGAATTTGACAAGAAACTTTTGCCTCAGAAATAATGATTAAACAAAAGTCAAATAAATTATTAGACTGCCAAAAAAAAAAAAAAAAAAAATGGTGTGTGAAATAAGATTAATAAAATAAATCATACAAATAAAATGAGATGAATTCTTTTTCTTCCTCTTCTTTTTCTTTCTCTTCTTTTCCACCTTTCCCGACTCCCTGTTTTTATCTTCTTTTCTGTTTCTTTACTATTGCCGCCTGTTTTTATTAACATTATTATCATCGTTATTATTACCATTATTATTATTATTATTATATTATTATATATTATTATTATTATTATTATTTATTATCACATTATTAACATTATTATTATTTATACATTATTATTATTATTATATCATTATCATTATTATCATTATCATTATTATCATCAACATCATTATCATTATTGTTATTATTATTATTATTATCACTATCATTATCATTATTATTATTATTATCATCATTATCATTATTATTGTCATGATTATCATTACCATTATTATTTTTATCATCATTTTCCTATTTTCCTCTACTTCTTCTTCTTCTTCTTCTCCTTCTTCTATACATTGGTGTAACTTGATGAACTGCACGTGCGTTTAAAGGCACATGGCAACGTACTTTTTTACCTCTATTCTCCCTTATTATTATTATTATTATTATCATCATCATCATCATCATCATCATCATCATCATCATCATCATTATTAATATTTTTTACATCTATTCTCCCTTATTATTATTATTATCATCATTATTAATATTTTTACATCTATTCTCCCTTATTATTATTATTATTATTATCATCATTATTTTCTTTGTCGTTTATTTCTTCGTTTTCCTTCTCTCTTTTCTTCCTCTTTCTTTCTCTTTTTCTTTTTCTTTCTTTCCTTTTTTATCATATCTCTATTTTTCTCTCTCTCTTATTCTTTTTGATGGTGAAAGCAGTGACAAGGACAAAGGTAATGATAACAATGATAACAATAATAGTAATGATAATAATAATCAGTAAGAATGATGGCCATGATAGTAATGGTAATAATAATAATAATAATGATAATAATAATAATAATAATGATAATGATAATGCTGATAATAATAACAGTAATAACAATTGTGATAATAAAATAATAATATAGAATGATGTTAATAATGACAATGATAATGACATAAAAATTGATGATGTTGATAAAAGTAATGCTGATAATGTTAATAATGATAATGATAATCTCAATATTATTAATAATAATAATAATGATAATTACGATGATGATAATCATAAAAAACATGATAACAATGATTATTATAGTAGTAGTAGTAGTAATGATTGCAATGATATGACAATGAGGATGATATGATAACATAATAAAAATGATGATAATGATAATAGTAGCAGTGACAATAATGACACTACAATAATGATGATAATAACAACCGTAAAATAATCATATCAGTAATGGAAGTAATAATAGCAATACCAATAACGATAACAATTAGGACAGTGATAATGATAATACTAATGATAATGATAAAAATAACACTTATAACAAGAAGGATAACAGTCAAACTGCAGACACACAAGTTTTGCAGTGTGTGTGTGTGCTGTGGTTCACTCGCTGTGCGGGAGCTTTCGTGTCTGTAACACTTGGGTTGCAATGAGTATCATAGCTGCTTAAGTGAGTATGGTGTCGTCGGATACACACACACACACACACACACACACACGCACACACATCACACACACACACACACACACACACACACACACACAACACACACACACACACACACACACACACACACACACACACACAACACACACACACACACACGCACATGCACATACACACACACCACGCACGCACACACACACACACACCACACACTCACGCTCGCACATGCACACGCACTCTGCCAGTGGATGGCCATTCTCTGCACACAGGGATTTTCAGGAGCAAATAAACAGAGCATGTCACAACAACAATAAAAGAATAACTATTGCAACAAATGGAATTAAACTAAACCTTAAACCTTTTCCGTGTAGACAAACTCACAATATATGATTATACAATACACAAACACACTCGCGCCCACATAGTCGCGCCCACAAACTACCGAATATATATCTTCTCATTGCCATATTCCACAGCACTGCGCTTGCCCCGCCCCTGACCCCCCTCCCGCCCGCAGCCACGGCATGGCGGCGTCGGCGGCGTCCCTGGAGCCCGGCATGAGCCTGCTGGTGACGGCGGAGGCCCTCGTCATGAGCCTGGCCTGCATGAACGGCTTCGTGGCCAACGTGATGGCCATCGTGGCCGCCGCCTTCTCGCCGCACCTGCGCCACGCCAGGGTCTACGTCATCAACCGCGCCGTCGCCGACATCCTGATCCTCCTGCCGGTGCCCCTGGACGTGGCGTCGCACCTGCAGGACTCGTGGGTGTTCAGCCCCGTCCTGTGCAAGCTGCGCTGCGCCCTGGCCTACGCCGGCCTGCTGGCCAGCTCCTCCCTGCTGGTGGGCCTCGCCCTGGAGGTCTACGTGGCCCTCGCGCGCCCCTGCGCCTCCAGGAAGTTCCACTCGGCGCTGGCCAAGGTGGTGTGCACCCTCGTGTGGGCGGCCTTCCTCGTGGTCCTGCTGCCGATCCTCATCCAGTCGGAGGTCCTGAAGGAGGTGTCCCGCCCTCGCTTCCACTGCGTGTCGCTGCCCCTGTCCCTGGCCACGCCCGCGGGCCACGTCCTCCGCTTCCTCGCCGTCGTGGTGGCCTTCCTGGTGCCCCTGCTGGCGTGCTGGCTCCTCGTGCGCCTCACGGCCTCCTCCAGGTGGCAGCACGTGGTGGGCGTGGCGGAGAGCCCGGCCAAGGGGCAGCCCGTCGGCCTGTGGCACCCGCGCAAGTTCCAGCTGTACCTCGTGGGCGTGTTCACGGCGTGCCACCTGCCCTACTGGTTGCCGCAGCTCCTGAAGGAGAGCCTGCGGGAGGGCGTCGTCAGCGAGACGGCCATGGCCCTCTTCCCGGCCACCATGTGCCTGCCCGCCGTCTGCGCCGCCGTCAACCCGGTCGTCTGCCTCCTGTTCAACAAGGCCCTGAAGAAGAGGATGCTGGGCGAGAGGGCGGAGGCCGTGGCGCGCGAACAGCCGGCCATCCCGCTGCAGCCGCTCTGACCGCCTCGCCCCTTGCCCCTCCCTCCTTCCCTCCTTCCCTCTCTCCTCCTCTCCCGTTCGCTCTGCCTCACCCGCTCTCTGCCCGTCGTCACGTCTCTCCCTTCCCTCTCCCCTTCTCTTGCCCGTCGTCTCTCCCTCCTTCCCTCTCCCCTTCTCTTGCCCGTCGTCTCTCTTCTCCCCTCATTCCTCTACCCTCTTCCAGCTCTCCTTTTTGGTCTTTGCTTGCACCTCTCCCTCCATCCCCTTCTCCTTCCTCCTATTCTTCTTCCTTTCTGCCTTCGCCACTTCCTCCTTCCCTCTCTTCTCCTCTTTCCTTCGCCTCCTCCTTCTCTCCTCCTTCCTATTCCTCAAATTCGTCACAAATAATTTGGGAGATTCTCAATGAGGAAGAAAGAAAGAAAAGGAAAGAAAAAACCTAGAAGAAAGAAATATGAATATCACACACACACAACTATACATATATATATATATACATATATACATATATACATATATATATATATATATATATATATATATATATATATAATATATATATATATATATATATATGTGTGTGTGTGGTGGTGTGTGTGTGTATGCACGCATATACAGTATAAGTGTATATACATACATACATACATATATATATATATATATATATATATATATATATATATATATATATATATATATATATATATATACATATATAATATATATTATATATATATACATATATATATATATATATATATATACATATATATATAGATATATATATATAAAGATAAGAATATCACACACATATATACATATATATAGTACACACACACACACACACACACACACACACACACATATATATAATATAATATATATATATATATATATATATATATATATATATATATATATATATATATATATGTATATGTATTATATTATATGTATTATATATTTATATATAAACAATAGTGATAATAAAGAATGATAATATAATAATAATAATGATGATAATAATGATGATAATGATAATGATAAAAATTATAACAAAAATGATAATAATGATGATCCTGACAATAATAATGATGATTATATGACATAAATAATGATAATAATAATAATAATAACAATAATAATGATAATAACAATATCAATAATAATGATAATAATGATAATGATTATAACAATATTAATAATAATAATGATAATAATGATAATAAGGATAACAA